ATATATATATATATATATATATATATATATAAAAACAGAATAATGTTTTCCGTATTAGTATGAATTTTACTTTTGATTACGCTGTCTTTATATTACTTCTGTAATTATACTTAAATACAATTTTTATTTTAAGACTTTTACTTTTAGTGGAGAATTTTAAGACCTCAATATTTCTACATCCACTTAAGGAAAAGATCTTTAAGTAACAGTTCTGAGTACTTCTCTCGTCACTGTGTTATTCCCTATCACAAGTATAACATTTTCCATCACAGCATTAAGATGTAGTGACACACCAGTAGGTGGCAGTGCACACCATCTGCCACTCTCTGCCCACTATCACTGCATTGCACCCAATTAACTGCTATGACACAGCCAACTAACCTAAATCATTATCCCACGGCCATCCATTCACACACACATTTAAAACTCCCTCCACTGTCTCATAATAAAGTTACAAGCATCATGCACACATACTGTACCGGTCAGATGATTTTGCTACTAATATATTTATTTTACTAAAGTCACCATAGAGCTTTTTCCTCATTACTCTCATTTCCTTTGGCAAATATATAAGCCCACGTTGAAGAAGGAAAAAAAGTAACTAACAAAAAAGAGCGAAAAACCGTTAGGCAGATATCTAAAACAGAATGAAATAAAACTACTTTATAGCACAGAAAACATCTAATTCATTGATATAATTAACATTGCAATGGTAGGGAATTCCATTGAGCACACACAGTTTTCGTATCTGGTTTCTTGTTAATGTGCTATTTTTCATTAAAGGCCAGGCAGCAAACAGTTGTTATGCCAGAAACTCGGAAACCCTGTGGTTTTTTAATGGTTCCAATTTCCTTGCTCTTTCTAACCACGGCAGGAAGTGGGGTTTCTTCCCCCAGTCCTGTATTCACACGGGGGCCAGTCGAGCCAAACTGGCACAGCAGTCAGTGGACATTACAGAGTTGGTGGATTTGGACAATGAACTCATTTATCATAACAGCAGCAGCAATGTGGCTGTTTGGAGTGCTAGTATCTGCCCGGGTGGTAAACAAACAGAAGGCCAAGTTCATGAATGGTAAAGTGTAAATGGTGGCGACTGTGGAGCTGGGCCTTAATGAAAATCTACCAATCAGAGGGTCAGCGGTTTGATTCCACAGCCCTACCTGTCTACCTGTTGAAGTCTCCTTGGGCAAGATACTTCACACTAAATTGCTATAATGGGCAATGTATTCGCTATTGAAGTGTTTGTAAGCTAAATAACATTAATGTAATATTACTCGCAGAACTTTTATTTGATAATAAGACTGGAGAAGAAGACCTCAAAAGATTAGTTGACTTATCAAATAGTCAATTGACAGAAATCTATTTTCAAGTAGAATTGTCAGGATTGTTTTATGTCATATTGAAGTCAAAGTCTTTGGGACAAAACACTTTTGGACTTTTGAAAAACTTTTGGATGAACATTTCTCACCGTATAGACTAAACAATTAATCTAGAAAATATATAAATACAAATGAAACAGCACTCAAACACAAATTGGCTTTGCGATAAGTATGAACCTTTCTCCCTCAATAATGGAAATAATACTATAAGGATATTTTAATGCATTTAAGCTTTCAGAAGTAAGTGAAAGAAAACTAAAATATATGTTTTGCCAGTGGAAATCCCAGCATCTTCCATCTGTGTTTTGGCACCTTATTAAACATTTTCATATCTGTGCTAGAGAGTGTCTATAAACTCTACTGATATCGTATTTGACATTCAAGCAGAGGTACATCACGAGCCTAGACACATACTGTGAGCCAGGATTTAGTATGTTGATGAGTCACTGATTCCTTCAGGCAGATTCACAATGTTTTTTTTTTGGCATCTGGAGAAATGTAATGCCTTTTTTTAAAACTGAACTTTTGAATCATGCTGATTGTTATCCTTGCAGAAGACACAGCTCCACCAATATGCCTCCCCCTGTGTTTATTGCTGCATAACAGCAACATGTTCTACCAGTTTGGCTACAAAGTGCCGAAGCGCTAGTTTCACCGGACAGACTATCTCTATTATTGGCGAGGGACCCCACACTGAGAGTGAACAGGCAGAAAGAGGAGAAGGCTTTTGAAGCGGGACCATCCATCTCTCCCTGAAACAAGCATCTGCACTGGCAGGAGCGAAAAACAATCGCACGGAAGGAAGTGGTAAATAATTGAGCTCAGGAACAAAGCTTTGGAGATGAGGCTTAACATTTCAGCTCTAGTTGCTTAGAGGCTTCTCTATCTGGCGTAAAGTATGTTTATGAGTTTTAATTTCTAAGTAGGAGACACAAACCTTTCAACGTGACGGAGAATAACCTTTCTATCGTAAATCAAGACGCAAGTTGATGCAGCGTTATTGTCGTTGGTATATTGAAATGTGATCGCAAATAAAAACCTTTACTTCATTGCTGTTTTCCACCTTGCACCTTTAAAGTATCCTCATAGTAGCTGTGGTTAGAGTCCCATAGTAACCCTACAGCTACAAAGTGTTTTGGAAGCAAACATTCAATATATATAAAAACTGATAAGAGGAATAAAATACCCAGATGTGATCTTTAAAACAGGGGAATATAAGGACAAATGCATCGCCAATAAAACAGATACAATTCTGTTTAAAGAAGTCATTTATAAGATTACTTTCCCAGCTCCCTTGGCAGTTTCCTGTAAAACTTGGACCTTTTTGCAATAAAGGCCGGTCACCTCTGATTTTCTCCTGGAGTCTTGAGGGTCCCACGAGATCTCGGGCTGTGCTCCAACTCGAAGGCGGTTTGAATAACAGCGTTTTCTGCCAGTATCTGCATACTCACGTCTGCTTCAATGCATAAAGACGAGGCCTTTGTACTCCCCCCTCGACGATGCACCAAGCTCTATCCTGACTTCCAAAACAGAACAGGCTTTGTTTCCTTGTCAGTCAAATGGGCGCCAGTGTTGTTTTATTTCACATTCCATGATGAAATCAGTCGAAACTGTACTTCCTAAATATCATCAATCGACCTGATTCAGCTTTCCATTTGTGGCAGCAAAATTGGTTTGAGGATGTGGGACGTAGTTTGCTTTTCCAATGTTAGATTGACATAGTGACCAAGCAGATTAAATGGGATTTGTTTTGTTTTTGAAGATCATAAAAAAACATATTTTTAATGAACACTGCACTCCATTTCAAGCCTTAATTAGCTGGATTAATACGATGAAACTGCAAGGTTGTGTAACACCATTAAAAGATAAATATTGTTCATAGTACAATGACAGAAACATATCCCTCCCCAGGCTCTCACCACTGGCACTATCCCAGGCTTCATTGATGTGGTAATGAACCTGAATTCTCCGGCACTGCTGGAAGACAACCTCATCTGGCAAGCCAAAACAGCAGGGAAGAGGATGGTCTTCTACGGGGATGACACCTGGGTGCGCCTCTTCCCCAAACACTTCATGGAGCACGATGGCACCACCTCCTTCTTCGTATCCGACTACACGGAGGTATGTGTCAGCCCATCAGTCTTGGTAAATGTTGTGGTTCAATGCTTGTGTGATCAAAGGACCGTGAAAGCACTTGATGGCAAATATGAATCAGGAATTTTGAAAATGGTGAGAAATCGTTAAACCAAACAAAATGCAAGAGACTACATTTATGCTCAAGTTGTCATAGAAAAGTGTATTTTTTAACAATATTATAAACATAGACTGCATATAACAAGTGGATGTGGTTCCCACAATGTCCTCTATTGGTTTGTACTACTGATCTGAAGCCTTGATTTTGTCAATTTTGCCATCGCCATCTTGGCCTTTTGGATCCAGAAGTGTTTGGAGAATAGTGTGGAGCGCAACAGAAGCGATACTGTGAGCATTACAAAAGCTTAAAGTTACCCACTAAAACCAGTATTAGTTAAGTTATTAAGATGCATTCTGAATTCATGTTAACTGTGGCATTAATTTAAATGCTAAAAACAGGCTTGTTTGTTTAAGTTACATACTTATCTGAACTAATTTGCAGCCAACTCCTTAAAGTGTTTTAGAACAAGAAGCAAAGCTAAGCAAAACAGGAATGGTGAGTGCATACACAGAAACCTGCTAACATAAAAATAAAATACATTTACAAATTCAATCCATGAAAATACTGTAGCACAGACTTCTAAATTGGTCTGTTATAACCAGGGGTGCACATAAGTGGTACACAGGTACGCATGCGCGGCAATAATCTGAAATGCGTACCGTCACTTGTGTCACAAAGCGCATTTGCGTACCGACGTACTTGTGAAGCTTTTCCAGAAGGCGGTTAGATCACCGGACGACAGTCGGTCTCTGTGTGCACAGACAGGGCTGCTGTTAACGTCGGTCTGTACAGCAGCACTGCGCTAAAAAAGCTGATCACAACGTTCACACTCCCTGTGGTCACGAAGCTCTGCACTCCACTACCACCCCCCCCCCCGCTGACATTCGCGATACAGAGGGCTTCATGGGAACTTTGAGGGTAGCCAGAAGTTGGAGTACCCCCCGCCCCCGTTGACATTTGCGAAACAGAGAGCTCCATCATACTCCACTAGCACACACACACCCCCCCCCGTTAACATTCGCGATACAGAGGGCTTCATCGTACTAGCAGAAAAGAGTGAGACAGGTAGCGCGCAAAAGTAAAAGTGGAACCGAGAGTGGTATGCCGCTGCTGCGGCTTATATTCAGGTGCGGGTTATAGTCCGAAAATTACGGTACTTTACATCAATGGTATTAATTAATAATTAAGCAGTGGTTTATGAATTATGACGAACATGCTTTGTGTATCTAGAAAGGACTCAGTCACCGCATTACCTACAAAAGTTATCTCCATGAAAGAGATTAAGCCAGATGAGCAACCAGGGAGGCTCAGAGATGAGTTCACATAAAAAGCTGCTCATCAATTCACAAATGTGTTGTAATATTTGCCTGATGATAATCAGATAATTATCAGACTCTATCGCAGCTTGAGTAAAGCTCCCCTCAGCTTAACTTTTGTTTGCTCTAGGGGGCGATTTTGAATAATTCCAACATTGGTTTTCAGTTGGAATCCTCTCGATCAGTAAATGTCTATCTTACATCACTTCTCCATGTAGGTTGACAACAATGTGACCCGTCACTTGGATAGCACCCTGAAGAGAGACGATTGGGACATTCTGATCCTGCACTATCTGGGCCTTGACCACATCGGCCACATCAGCGGACCCCACAGCTCGCTCATCCAGCCCAAACTGATGGAGATGGATGACATCCTGAAGAAGATTCACAGTGCCCTCATTTCAAAGGTAATTTCTTGTTTTCCTAAACCAGGGGTAGCCAACACGAGAGTCGCCCGCGGGGCATGTTCTAAAAATAGCTCGCCAAGCAAATCCAAAATGTAAAAAATACACAAAACAAAAAAGGAAATGTAATTAAAATAATCTACCCTATCCATAAACGAAACCTCACTCAGCTAATTTATTTTATCTAATTTATACCTTATTTACTATAAATAATAATACTCATCATAATAGCAGAATTTTTTTAACAATGACCACAATATAATTATTTTAATAAACCAAATATGAACAATTGAGGAAAATGAGGAAGAACTGATGATTCGAATGTTGTAGTCCAAGTAGTAATGTAGTTTGTGCATAAATGACTATTTCAACAAATGTTAGGGCTGTGCAATTAATCGTATTTTAATCGTGATTACAATTATGGCTTGCGACGATTATGAAAACAGCATAATTGACAAAATACGATTATTTAGCTGGGTGCGCTTTCGCCCCTCCCTAAAAGCCCACTCTTCCACGTGGGAGTGACATGTGTTGAGTGTTCAGCGCGAGCAAAGATGTCGGAACAAGAGCAGCAACTCGTTAAAAAGAAGGGTCGCGGGGAGATTCCCAGTCGATCGCGAGATGTGTCTAAAAATAGAACAACAATATTCTGTTTTATCGTTAATGTCCTGTAACATAATCTTCCTGTGCCAGAATAATGCATTTGAACGCATAAAAGCTTTGTGATTGACCGGCGTCACCCCATGTGTCGGGGCGTGGCTGGTGGGCAGTGGGCAGTGCACTATTTCGCTGACGTTGTCCGTGTCAACAGGAGTGACAGTCCGCACACACACAAGACCGCAATTATGGCAGAAGCAAAAAAGCCCAAAATATATAATTTTCACTCAGAGTGGGAGGATGATTATTTTTTTATCTATTCCGATTCAAAGTCTATCTGTCTCATCTGCAATGNCAACCCGCTGCTGCAGATACACTCTTTACAACATCGGGAGGATACATCCCCAGCTGACCCAGAAAGCGACGCAGGAGATGACGAGAGCCTGGACCAGAACCTGCGTCGCTTTCTGGGTCAGCTGGGGATGTATCCTCCCGATGTTGTAAAGAGTGTATCTGCAGCAGCGGGTTGTAGCAGCGATGTTTGAAGTGAAGGACAGTTTGTTATCTAGGATCACACCCAGATTCCTTGCAGTCTGAGTCGGGGAAACAACAGAGGTGCCGATGTTGATTGTTAGGTCAAGGGTGGGACAATCTTTTCCCGGAAGGAAAAGCAGTTCAGTCTTGTCAAGGTTGAGCTTGAGGTGATGAGCAGACATCCACTGAGAGATGTCAGCTAGACAAGCAGAGATGCGTGCGACGACCTGGGTCTCTGAGCGGGGAAAGGACATAATTAATTGAGTGTCCTCAGTGTAGCAGTGGTATGAAAAACCATGCGGGCTAATGACAGATCCGAGCGAGTTTGTGTACAAGGAGAAGAGGAGGGGACCAAGAACAGAGCCCTGAGGGACCCCTGTAGTTAATTGACAAGGGTCGGACTCGGACCCTCTCCAAGTTACCCTGTAGGTGCGGTCTTTGAGGTATGAGGTGAGGAGGGAAAGATATCAGAAAAACATTCTGGTTTAGTGTGTCAAAAAATCCAGGAAAAACGACATTTTTTAGTATAATTTGTCCAAAATGTAAATACAAATAGCATAGTATACTATGACTATGTTGGAAAATAGTCATAGTGTGTTGGAAATATGAGAAAAAAGTCATAGTATAGTACCGTAAGTTCTTCAGAAACTCCAGAAGCCACCGTCTTCATTGATGTAAGATGATTGTCCTCGCGGTCCTGTGGGGAGAAAAGAAGAAAAAGACACCATGAAGTTAATATAGTAGGCACTGACTATAGAATGAAAATATCAGTAATAAATAAAAAAATACCATAAAAAAAAGTCATAGCATAGTTTGTCGAAAAAATCTGTGTGTTTAAGAACCCTACGTTTTTCAGAAAAACGGAACTCAAGAGGCCATGTTCCTCCCACCAAAAAGCAAACATAGGACAGCTGTAGCTCTTCTGAAAAAGAAACAGAAAATAATATGATCATAATCATTTCCGTTAACACTAGAAAGTGGAGAATAGTATAATCGAGACAATATTATGAATCAGGAATAAAATACAAAAGACACAGACCTTAAAGTGGACCTATCATGCTATATTTGAATAATATAGTGTAGGAACATACAGCGTCTCCAGCGCTTTGGAACGGCAATGTCCGTGGCTGTCTCCTCCTGATTGGTGGAGTTGGCCCAATAGCCGTAGCGCAACTTCTGTGACGACATAAAAGTGTTCAAATCTGGATCAGTCTGGATCAGATCCGTTGCAGCCCCTTTTTTTAGAGATTTGGTTATGGAGGAAAATAGAGAGGGTTGTGTTTTCTGACACTTGGTGAGTTCCCTGGAACATATTCATGTATAAAAGACATACAAAATTGCATTTTGCATGATAGGTCACCTTTAAGACTTCCGTAGTTCCCACGGCTGTGTAAAGAGTCCACCTGCAACCCTCCAAACACTGCAACACAAAATAAAGAGAGTCTTCAGACTTATATAAAAAGCCATTAAAAGGCTAATCTGACTAAATTGACAACTTGTCGCTATCCTATTTTTGGCATAAGCCGTTTTCTACAGGCACATTTTACCGGCATATTTTTCATAATGATTCTACTTGTGATTGTCATGACAACCTGTGCAGCCCACGTATTGCTTCCATCCGATAGATGCTATAATACAAAACAAAATGTCTGCCTGCTCTCCACAATGATCAATAACAGCGAATGGATGGTCAAAGTAAGGTACAAATAAACAGAATCACACGAAGCCTGGTGAGTGTTGCCTGACTTTATAAAGTGTGTTTTTTTTTTTATAATTGTGTGGTTGCGTTCTAGTCACTTTGCTCAGCACTACTGCTTGTTACAACTTTAATTTGCCGTACTCGCCATGAACTGTTATGGCTCAGGTTAATCTCGGCCCCTCCGACGTGAGCGTGGTTCTTGGTTCTTGCCGGGCAGCCAAGTGGGGTCAGCTAAGAACCGGTTTTTGGTGTTTAGACCATGGTTTAGAGCCGGCTCCGCTGCGGCTGAAACAGGAAGAACCAGAGCTAAATCAGGCTGTAGCCCGGAACTGGCTCTAGAACCGGTTTGGTGTAAAAGTGGCAGAACCAGAGAAGAACCAGTTAAGCACCAGAAAAGCACAAGAACGGTTCTTGAACCGGAACCGGATTGGTTTATTGGCGGTTGGTAAACCACTTAAGAGTACTGGAGTGTGAAACAAGAGCTATTGAGTCAGTCTTGTGGTGCTGTTGCTTTGGTCTGGATCTGTGAGCTAACCACGCCCCGTTCATTTGAATATTAGAAATTGAAATGTAAAGTGGCATTATGAAATAAAAGTCTCTTGAAATAAATAAATGTGGCATTATGAAATAAAAGTCTCTTGAAATAAATAAATGTGGCACTATGAAATAAAAGTCCCGCCTGAAATAAATAAATGTGTATTTAAATGTACATTTATATATATTTATTGCCTTATTTATAGAGAGGCGAAGTCCCGCCCATCTACTTCCGACCCATGGGACCCCGGAATCGGAAAATTATACATTGAAGTCAATGGAGAGAGAAAAGTCATCTTTCGATCCCGTTTGAATTGTGCCACGAATGACACATATGATGTTTGTCAAAATAAAAGAACATTTTGCAAGTCAAAAAAATAAAAATGTGTCGTAAAACTGTGAAGTTACACTTTTNTAAATACATATATATATATATATATATATATATATATACATATATATGTCATAATATTTGAATGTTTGTCAAAGCTGAGCCAATTACTGGGTATTTAATGTAATAACAGCATATGATGTAAGCATTTGATTTGTTTTTATGTGTACAAAATAGCTCTTAACTATAAGTGTTACATACAGGTAGAGGAAACAGTTAAATATGTTTGCCTCAATGCAGTGGAGTAGAAGTATTTTTGGCTTAAAATTGAAATACTCTAGTACATTTGTTACATTCCACCATTGGAATGATAGAACTTCTAATGAACAGAACAGTCGTTTTCAAAAGAGCAATTTGTTGCATGATTTTAAGCTTTTCTTGTACTGACAACTGGCCTAAGAAGACAATCAGTGGATATCTTTGCATTTTATTACAAAGGGCTCTAATCCATTACCTCAAATTAAATCCCTCCATTAACCAGTATTTTATTTTTGAGAGGTTTGTCAATATATGAGGAAGTATATGAAGCAGGAGAAGATATACATTAGGCTGTTATGCCCTTACATTTACTATAACTGCCCCTTAAAAGAGATTGAGGGTCCCTTCTGCTCTCAGCAAGATCACAAATCCAACGTACACGTTTCTGGACAGCTGTAAAAGCACCATTTTTGGTTCCATCATGCCTGTGCTTCTAAATCTAAATCAGAAACCTTTCATTTTAAACTCATTGATTTTCCCCTCTTCATACTATCTTACCGTCAACAAATCTTAAGAGATTATTCACACCCAGAGTTGTTTTTCCTTAATGCCCCTTTTCCCTCCATCATCTTCTCTAAACCCTTGGATTATGACGGAACATCTGTCTCCCTGCCAGTCCACCTCAATCAGCTTTATCCCATCATCCTTCCTCCTCCTCATCATCACTGACCTGCTTCATGACAGACAGCTCCTCTTTGATTTCATTCTGTTCAAGGGAGAAAGCTTTCCTCCATCTGTTTATTAACTTGTGTCTTAAAATGAAATGTGCTTGCATGTACGATTCAATTAATGTGAAAACATATAAGAATAATATTTATTTAGTAGCATTTGTCCACCCGAAATGCGTTAAAGGGGCCTTATTATGCTTTTTGGGGTGTTCCCTCTCCTGTAGTTTGTTGTGGGTTTCTGTGCATGTAATGGTCTTAAATTCCTGTGTTCCCTCCAGAAGGGAGTTTCCCTTCCACACCCTCCCCCCCTGCCTGAAATGCCTCCATTGGAATCCTTTGTTTGCTTCTGTGATATAATGACATCACTATGTAACACTCGACCCCGTAGCCGCGGGAAGTAGGGGTGCTGCAGCACCCCCTGTTGGCGAGTGGTGTACATTTGAAAAACTGAGTGACCACCTACATAAAAATGAATAAACTAC